CGCAGATCTGTTTTTTGAATATTTTTGTCAAATCATTTTCTCTTTGATTTTTGTTTAACATTTCATTGACAACAATGTTAAAGGGTGTGTTTTACTACAAAAATCTTTGTTTATATGAGATCCATATCTAGTGCATGCGTGGTAATACGACTAGTGCTCTTTAACATATGATGCAACAAACAACATTTAAAAACAAACTAACCATTGAAAGGGGGCTATATACGCAACCAAAAACCCCAATTGAAGATAGATTTGCATATTGTGTAACAAAATAAAGAATGAACAACACCATCTATCATACTGTAGAATACTTTATTTTCGCTTGGAATTTATTTTCGCTATTTTCGCAGAAGGGATGATTTCGTGAAAATGAAATCCAGCGAATATACTTTTTTTCCAATATTTCACATTAAGCTCATCAAAAATCAGTGAAAATAAAATCCATACAAAACGCCCAAAAAGCCTTTTCAGCGAAAATTTATTCCAGCGAAAATAAAGTATTCCACAGTATTATGAATTAGATACTAGAAGGCTGTGACTCAATGTAACTTGATTAATACAGATTACAAAAATCTAGATAGAAACGAGAAATTTAGATTTATCATGAAAACTAAACATAAATCAATTATTATAGGTCTCCATATTTGTTTAAACAACAGTAAATAAACAAATTAGATTCATCAATATCAATATACAATTAAACAATTTTATAATTTTATAACTTTATTTTGCTATGTACAAAATTAGAATTGTTAAATTTTGATTTAATAAAGTCCTACTTTATCTATGAGGAGATTGCTATATGAAAATGATTAACAAAGTCAGCAACAGGGCTCTGAAATGAGAAATCAACATGCTAGTAACCAACCACATGAAAGAAATGCACATGCTGGCCAGCTTAAACTCTGACAAAACTGAGGTAAACTAGACATCTACTGTGGTGAGACAGAATCTAGAGAAATCACTGGAGAACAATTCAATACTTTGTAAATTTTAGTAAATTTTAACATGATTTATGGCAATAATATCTGCAAAAACAGGGCTTATATTCATGAAAAAAAATGAAAAACAGTTATAACGAAAAAAAAAAAAAATCCATACCTACCTGCAGTACTCTTAGAAAAGCATGACACCAGTATACACACTATTTTGTAATTGGCCTCAGGGAGATTATGGATTTGGCTCCAATAGACTGCTGCTCACTCAACAATGGAAAAAAGAAAAAAAAATTTGATCCACTCACCAGACTTGCACATTTGTATTTGAAATGATGGCATCCTATGAGACCTAATTGTATTGTACCTATTCTCAGTGCACACACAAGAAATCTTGTTGTTCTTGTTAGTAAGAGTATTCCTTTCAATATATGATTATATGTTGTCCCTAATTGTAGTACATACTGACTACCGTAAATAAATAAATAAATAAAATTTGCTCTCTCAATATTGTATTCAGTAATTGTGTATTATGGAGCTTTCTGGGCATTTTAACATTTGGCCATTTTGTTTGTTGCCATATATACTATGATAAGTCTTATAGGGGCACATGGCACCTCCAATCAGATGGTCTGGTACATCAATTTAGATAATAGGCTGCAGGATGTAAAATTTCTAGTAATATCACATGCAAATGACTACTTTTCCTTTATTATAACTTTTTACTACCAGTTTTCCCCTTTCAGCACAAATTCACAAAATAGTCTGCAATTTCCTTTAGATGATTGGAAAAAAGATAGCCAAATTTTTTGAGTAAAAACTAAAAATTAACTCAAATTTTGTCTGTCGGCTTCAAATTCATTTGGATTCATTACTAAAAATATTGGAGAATATATAAGAAAAAAGTGCAGAAAAATTTGGGCGAGAAAGTCTGGTGGTGAAAAGGTTAAATTGTGTAAGCATCATGGCATCACACTAGAGCAAAAGCCAGCAACCAATACTGTAAAATACTTATTTTCACTTAGAATTAATTTTCGCTATTTTCACTGAAGGAAAGATTCAGTGAAAATAAAATCCAGCGAATATACTTTTTTTCCTATATTTCGCGTTCAACTTAACAAAAATTAGTGAAAATTTACTTGGGGTTTGCAATGCACATAGTACTGTATGGTGACATCATGTCAAGATCCCTTCAAGTCTCATCTCGTAGATAGCGAGACTGAGGCTACGACCTTCTGATATGACATAGGTGGTTTAAAATAAAACAATACAACATGTATTACCACATTCATAGTAAAAAAATGTAATACAGTGAAAAAGATAGTTATCGTAATCCGTCATATCGTGAGCAGCTATTTTGATCCATCTGGACATCCCAGTATCCTAGTTACCTCGGGCATGTGCATTCGCATTTTTCTGAGTTGGAACGCTTATGCGAGAGCGAGATTGAAACAGGATCTTGGTATCATGTCACTCTGTACTGTACCTCTGGTTCCATACAAAACACCCAAAACTTTTTTTCAGCAAAAATTAATTCCAGCTAAATTAAAGTATTTTACATTATGTTAATTATTGTTTCATTTCTTTCTCATAACATTAAAGATACATTTAAAATGTTAAAAACATGGGCAATCTGCTCTTTCAATAACCATAGATGGTAAAAAAGCTCTACTGGGATGTAGAAATGACATCAAAGAAAGCTTGGAAAGAAAGAAAGAAAGTTTGGTTGTGTAGTTGTCTGAGCATAACTTAACATTTAGCTGGTTTAAAGCTGCCTTAATTTATTTTTAAAACTGCCACATATCTATATTATGTAATCTATCTAAATATTAGTAATATGCCGCAAATATTAGTTTGAATTATTAATAACAATGATACTCACTTTAAAAATTATATTTTTTATGAAAGGACAAACACAGCTGATAGCCAGCTTGGAGGTTACCGTACTGTACCTTATTAAAATAACTAATCCACACATCAAATCTGCTTTGAACCATTTTTACTAGTGATGAAAAGGTTATTCCAGAATCAAATTTATAATAAATTGTATGTAATTAATTTTTTGTTTTTCAATTTTAGTTAATTTCAAGTTTGCAACAATGGATGGTGGTGGCACTGATGATAGTATCAACCAGTTTGCTGTAATGACAACCACTGATAACCAACATGTTGCAATGACAACTAGTTATAACCAAAATCCTCTTAGGACTACCATTGATAACCGGTATCCTGCAATGCAAACCAATAATAACCAGAATGCTGCAATGATGACCAATGATACACAGTATAGTGCAATGACAACCAATAATAACCAGAATGCTGTATTGACTAGCAGTGATAACCAAAACGCTACATTGACTATCAATGATACATATAACCAGTATCATTTAGGAACGGTCAGTGATATCCAGCATATCAAATTAAAAACCAGTGATAACCAACATGCTGCACAGATGATTGACAATGATAACCACTGTCCCATAATAGCAACCAATGATAACCAGCTTCCTGCAACACCTGGTTGCGATAATCAATTTGCTGCAATGACTACAAACAATAACCCAAATGTACCAACTACCAGGGGTAACCAGTATGCTGTAGTAAATACCAGTGATAACCAGTATCCTGTAATGACTACCAGAGATAACCAGCAGTGTGCAGTATTTACAAATAATAGCCCAAAATCTGTCAATACAAAACATCAAGTGGCGTTGTATACCAGTGACAACAAACATGATACAATGTCTTTGACAGTGATTACCAGTGGCACTCACCACTTTACAGTGACTACTAATAACAACCAAAATGCTACATTGGCTCTTGGTAGTAAGCAATATGCCACACTATCAGGTGATAACCAGGTTGTACCAGCTACCAGTACTAACCAGCAAGCTGCAGTGACTACCAATGACAACCAGTGTACAATATCAACTACCAATGTTAATCATTATACTGACAACAAACATGCCACAATAACTACCAGTGACAACCAACATGCTGCAATGACTACCAGTAGGAACCAACCTTCTGCAATGACTACCAGTGACAACCAAAATGCTGCAATAACTACCAGTGACAACCAACATGCTGCAATGACTACCAGTAACAACCAAAATACTGCAATAACTACCAGTGACAACCAACATGCTGCAATGACTACTAGTGACAACCAACATGCTGCAATGACTACCACTGTCAACCAACATGCTGCAATAACTACCAGTGACAACCAACATGCTGCAATAACTACCAGTGACAACCAACATGCTGCAATGACTACCAGTGACAACCAACATGCTGCAATGACTACCACTGACAACCAACATGCTGCAATAACTACCAGTGACAAACGAAATCGTGCAAACTCCTATTGTCAAGAGGAGGATTCTGATTGTTTATACCTTTGTGTTTATTGTGGTAAAAGTTTCACTACAAAAGGAGTGTTAAACCTTCACATGAATGATCACACTGGTGAAGAAGATCCCCAGTCTGATGACAGCAGTGAGGGTCCCACAGTAAGTAATAATGCAGAGAAAATAGACAAACACAAACAATGTTCAATTACTGAATTACAGTCTGATCCAAGCAGTAAGGGGAACACAGTGAGTAAACCTACAGAGAAACTGGGCAAACATGAACCAAGTTCAAGTGCCAATCCACCTGTAAAAACTCGACGAGCAGTCTACATTTGTGAAAAATGCGATAAGATTTTTACTTCCGTTGAGGATATTACAAAGCATACAGAATCTCATAGTGGTAGGGCAAGGTACCATTGTTGTCACTGCACAAAGCAATTTGATGCGAGATGTCATCTTGTACGTCACATGATGATGTATCACCCAAGGACAAAGACTTACCCTTGTCTACAGTGCAAGTTGGTATTCAAAACTGAAGCTGAGTTAGTTGAGCATTGGAAGAGTCATACAATACACAAATGCAATAACTGTGAAAAGGAATTCAGGACAAGTGCGCTCTTGAGACGCCATGCAAAGAAGCACGTAATGGTGAAGTCAGTTAGGTGCAAAGAGTGCGGGAAAATGTGCGCCTCAAAAGGGAGCCTCAAGCGACATATCACTGTGCATTCTGACGGCCCCAAAATCCCATGCAACCAATGTGATCGAACCTTTCGTACGAAGGCTTACCTAATCGCACATGCAAAAAGCCACTCAGTGCAAACATATCCTTGTGACAAATGTGATAAAGTCGTTTCCTCTAAAAAGAATCTCAAGTGTCATATGAAAGTACACAGCAAGCAGCAAGAAGATTTTCCATGTCCACATTGTCATGAAGTGCTCCACGGTCGGTATAAATTTGTGACACACCTGCAGACTCATCGCGTGGGGAAGGTTTATCCGTGTGAGCAATGTGGTAAGAAATTTGCGACAAACTATCGTTGGAAGAGACATATGCAGATTCATACTGGTGAGAAACCTTACCCGTGTGATTTGTGCGATAAGCGATTTACTCAGAAAAATAATCTAGAAATTCACAGACGAATACACTTCAATAACAGATCTCGAAAATGTAAAGCTTCAAAAACAAAAGCTGTTAAAGATGCCTATCCGTGCGAAGAATGCGAACAAATTTTCAGCACCAAATATTATTTGCATGAGCACAGACGATTACACTACGGTGAAAAAGCCTTCCCTGTGAGTATTGTGGAAAGAATTTCTTGAAAGAGGGGTTCTTGAAGATACACATGCGGACACACACTGGTGAGAAACCATTTAAATGTAATCTGTGTGACAAAGCTTTCACGGTCAAGTGTAATATGCTGAAACATCAAGTGAGACATAGTGGCGAAAAAACGTTCCAGTGCGAAATTTGCGGGAAAATGTTCCCGATCGAAAGCGATTTATTAGCTCATCAGAAAATGCATACCCAGCGTGATTTTTTTAAATGCCAGTATTGCGGTAAAGGATTTGCTTTTGTGTACCGATTAAACTGCCATCTTAGGATACATACTGGTGTGAAACCATACCAGTGTCAGATTTGTAATAGGGCTTTCACGCAGAATGGAAACTTGACAGCTCATATGAAACTGCACACGGACAATAAACTAAGACGAACAAAAAAAAAGAGGGCTGTTTGTGATCTACCACAGGATGTCCCTGTAGTCTGAGTTTATACGACACGGGGGTAAAAAAATAAGAAAGACTTATCCTACCAGCCACAGCTGCCACGTAGGTGACAGCTAGTTAGACCAAAAACTCGGCAAGGAAAAAAATCGCACCACTTTTATTGCACCTCACTCGCTGCTGAGAGAAATGAGACTGACTTGGAAGGTAATATGGCGGCACCTCATTACCCCGGTCACATGGTTTGTAACGTAAGGGGAAAATCTTGAGGTCATGAGGCTTCCCCTGACTTAGATTGCTCTCAGTCATTGGCTGAATTGCAGATTAATGTCTACAGTTCAAAATAGTCATTTTGACTGACCGGAGTCTATGGTGGGTAATTGAACGTGGTGAATTGTCCCTGTAGTCTGTGTTTATACTTGTTGACCATAAACATAATCTCACAGTAAATAAAAGCTTCACAGTCATTGCATTGTATTATGTTTTTTCTCTCACCGTCATTGGCTGAATCACAGATTAATGTGACATGTTATGACAAAATCTGATCAGATCCGGTGACTGTGGTGTCTTTAACAATGCTGCAATGTTTAAACCCTAACAATATGGTTATCAAATAATGTCGACTTTATTAACACATTCGCAGCTGGAAGTCTTCATGGATAACAAAATCAATGTGAAAAATGTTGGCAAACGATGTAATTGTAGCCTTCCTTATATACCATCGTTACGAAAAATATGTATATACATTGTCATATTGGTACTTAAAGTGGAAGGGTTGTCACCTGCACAGGAATTGATTCCCAAGCGACGATAACAACACACGCTAAAAATGCAAAGACTCATAGATAGACGCTTGTTTATAAACAATGAAACACTATGGCCATCCGTCACATACGCAGGTGATAATTCCTCTGACCAATATGACAATGTATATAAGGCTACAATCACATCGTCTGCAAACATGTTTTTTTTTTCACATTTAGTTCGTTATTCATGAAGACTTCCAGTATAAATAGTATCTTTTTAGAACAAGGCTTTGAGCCAGTCATGACTACCTGTCATTTTAGATGAGTGAAAATGTCATTTGACAGGCAAGATTTCAAAAAAACATGTCCACTTTGGGTTGAAAATTTCATGCATTTTACAAAATACCAATAAATAATCGACAAAAAATAGACAAGTATCTCTGGCTCAAATGCAGTAAAAAAAAATACTTGTTTCAATCTTGTTTTAGACAAGCATTTTTCATTTCCTACAAACCCTGCTTAGAATAATGGAGGGATTACCCTAAGTCTGATGACAAAAAGACAAATTTTCACACATTAAAGCAATTCATGTCTTTCACACTGAGAAATAGAGTACATAATAAGTGAGATGCACCATGGGATAGTTGCCATTTTAAATCAATTACTGTAGAATACTTTATTTTAGCTGGAATTAATTTTCTCTGAAAACACTTTTTGGGTGTTTTGTATGGAATTTATTTTCACTGATTTTTGACAAGTTGAATGTAAAATATAGTATAAAAGGTATATACACTGGATTTAATTTTCACTGAATCATTCCTTTAGCAAAAATAGCGAAAATTAATTCCAAGCAAAAATAAAGTATTTTACAGTAAGACATTACTCAAAACCTGGACTGAAACATGAGTGAATGTAAACATTGTACATGTATCCTATGTTTACAGCACATGTAAATATTGTTATCGAAGCCAAGCATATCACAAATAAACCAACTCCCTCTGAAAACTTACATAAATCACTGTTTCAGCCAAGGTCAATTTTGACATGTTTTACTGTACATGCGATACAAAAATCAGGCAACATACAAAATGTCAATGTACATGAAGGTTTGCAAAAATGCAGACGAAACTAGTAGTATGTATTGGGTTTTGTACTTTTTGTTTAATTTTGCATTGAGAAATTTTCAGGTTTTTTTTGAGAGGGGTGTCAGCATCAGATACAAATAACTTGCGTTTTTCATGTGTCAGTTTTAATGATCGAAAAACCCAATGTGTAACACCATTGCAGCATAAATGTTTCCATTATGTAAATATTCAAACCGAAGAGGGAAAGTAAATTACAATGTTTTTTGAACAGTTTAAGCTTATAAGGTGAAGATGTTAAGTTGAACTAGCAGGGTTAGAGGAGTGCAGTGGCTTATCTAATTGATTAATCTAAACTTGACATTGAAGCTAACCAAATTAGGGCAAATATTATTTTGAAATTTGTGTTTTTATTTTCATAGCATTATTTGTATGCAAAGTGTTTGAAAAATTGTAATTTCTAACAGATAAGTTTTGTGTTCTCAAGTTGCTAGGTTACAGGGTACATGATTGCTCCGTTGATTTTATATACTGTAAAATGACTAATTTTCACTGTGTATAAATTTCACTGATTTACCATTTCAGGCATATTCAGTGGGTTTTAAATTCACCGTTTTATCATTTTGATAATGTGTTCTATGCTAAATTTTACATATTCACTGGGTTTTAATTAAGCGCATTTTCCAGTCAGCGAAATAAGCAAAATTAAAACCCAGTGAATAATTAATCCCTTTACAGTATGTAGGTAGTTTGCTGATGATTATTCTGTTTTCACAAGACCAGCATGCCCTAAGTGGACTGAATTTTGTGTCAAGATGAAATACAAATATGGATCACTTCAGTGTTGACCAAGGTGATAGGTATTCAACATTTTATGTGGCAGTTGGCAGCTTCTGATGGCACAAACTAAACTTTTATGAAATTTGATTTTCTCAGTTTTTTATTTTTCTTTTGGTCTGTCATAAAATGTGAATGTTGTATTATCAAATTACAAATTTTATAATAACTATCGTAAAATATGATTATGGAATGATTGTAACTACTCAATGCACAACAATTACTGTGCTTTAGGCCAGACTTTTATTATCCCTTGTTTCGCGAACCCGCTGAATGAATTTTATTTCAGCGTAATTTCTTGTGCAAAAAATTGCTAAAAAAAAACTTATTTTTATCTTCATTTTTTTTCTGCCTACCGCATAACAAACCCAAGTTGCATTTTCGTGGGAGTATCATGATCAAAGTACTGAAGTCTCGCGCAGATGAGAAACAATGTTATACATGGAATAAACTTTTATTTCATTTCTTCTTTCCGATCAATGATCTCACTTACAATTCTTTGAGAATCACACAAATCTAATGGAAAAAAAGAATTAATTTTATTTTTTTTCCCGCCCTCCTCAAAAAAATTGCTTTATAAAAACTCATGAAACAAGGAATAAAAAGTCTGGCCTTAATGACGCGTCATATTGGTCAAGACGATACATATATTTTTAGTATGTATTTCAGCCATGCAGATTTGAAATGATCAGCTTTCATTATCATACAGTGTACATCTGGCAGTGAAAACGATAGAATTAAACAATCTACATGTATAAAAACCTTTGTGTTTATTACTAATGCCATCCTTGTTTTAACATTTTCATGTTTAATACATCATGTACTGTAAAATACTTTATTTTTGCTTGGAATTCCTTTTCGCTGAAGGAATGATCCTTTGAAAATAAAATCCAGAGAATATTCCTTTTTTCCAATATTTTACATTCAACTCGATGAAAATAAATTTCATACAAAACACCCAAAAAGTCTTTTCAGCGAAAATTAATTCCAGCTAAAATAAAGTATTTTACAGTATGTTGTTCATTACTGGTACATACAGGAGAATTCAGAGGTATACAATATACCGCGACTGAGATTTACATACTTGTATGCTTTGGTCTGACGACACCTTCACTTTACTATGCACCCTGATCAGTGTTCCCTCTAAGCCTTATTTTCGCTCATTTTTCTCAGATTCAATTGTAGTTTCTCAGTGAAATTTTGTCTTTTGAGAAACTTTACATGCATTTTGTATGCAGAAAAAACATTTCAAGGGGAAAATGGACAAATCTTCCCAGTATTTTCAAGATTCAAAAAAATTAAAGGGAACAGTGACCCTGTTGTAAATTCCAGTATTTTGTGAATAACCTCATTATTAAACCCTTTTTGCCATATAGCAGTATCCATAAGTTATGACGTCATAATTTTGCGATATTGCACAGCGTATCTGCATCCTACCTTTATTAGGAAACGCAAATAACCATGTTTGAATTTTATAGTCCGAAAATTTTAATTTTGGGCTCAGTGGATTTAAAGATTGAAGTTATTGAAATTTCTCAAAATTGTGTATCAAACACCGAGGCAGGTAAATTTAAAATTTCACCAGCCCTGCCAGAAAGTTACCTGCTCTGTAATAAACATTATTTTCAGATGCTTGCATTCACAAGTGAGCATACCAAATATCATTATTTATACAAAGGGGCCGACGACAATCTGAATGATACCAGTTTCTCTTTGGTTATAACGTTAACTTTGATCTGAAAAATCCAATTTTTATTCAGAGTGAGAATCTAAGGCATCGGCCACGTGCAGAGTCTCTACAGTTTTTCTTTGGTTATAACTTTAACTTTGATCTGAGAAATCCAATTTATATTCAGAGTGAGAATCTAAGGCATCAGCCACGTGCAGAGTCTCTACAGTTTCTCTGCATCATATCTGTGACATGGCTGGAATACAAACTTTACACACAAGATACATTTGTAATGTCACTAAAAATGGACCAATTTCTATCTTTCACAAAACAATTTGAGAATGATCAAAATCTATGGTATTTATGTATACACAGGGTACCAATCTTTAGCTCCATTAGAATTTATAAGGGACCCTACAAAGTACAGATAAGTTCCTAGTTAAAAATCCAAATCAGGGAATCATTGTTTTTCCTAATACTTATTTATATAATATATGGTAGCTTGGATATTGACTGCCATGAACACGTAAATGTGTATTTTGGCCATAGGCACACCTCTGTCATTCACACAAGCACATATGCTATTAATAGAGCAAATCTGGTAATGCGAAGAACTAATTTGCCAGTAAGAAGGCATACTGTGGAATACTTTTTTTTTTCGCTTGGAATTAATTTTTGCTATTTTTTGCTGAAGGAATGATTTAATGAAAATAATATCCAGCGAATATACCTTTTCCCCAATATTTTACGTTCAACTCGTCAAAAATGAGTGAAAATAAATTCCATACAAATCACCAAAAAAGTCTATACAGCAAAAATTAAATCCAGCTAAAATAAAGTATTTTACAGTACATTTATGAAATTAGCAATTTTTTGCAAAAACAAATTTTCTGGCTGTCATCAATTAAAATATACAAAATATTCGTAAAACACGCCTCTCAGTTAAAACTACATTTTGTAGACTGGCAAAGTCGGGACTTTTTTTGTTTTACAAAAAAATATAATTGTCAATTTAGCCTTTTTAATGTGATCGCAAAACTAGTGTGACTGCCAAAGAAATCCTTCTTTAGCAGTCAGCTTAGTTTTCACACGCTAAAACAACAATTAATTATTTCTTTTTGTAAAACAAAAAAGAAGTTCCGACTTTGCCAGTCTAAGTTAAAACAAAAGGTCAAACGTACTTGATGTTTACACAATGGATTTATTTGATGCTTTTTGTTCAGATAAAATATACAAATGGTCATCAAAAACAAGTCAAACACCCATGAAACTACTGATAATTTTTGATGCATTTACCATTGGTTTCTATGGTAACATTCTCACCATATCTCAAAATTTTGTGTGATTACATACGGTGATAAAATCATATGTAATTACGGTTACTTATGGTTGTACCCCATGGAAATCTCTTCAAAACTGTCTATTTTTGCATCTTTTGAAGCAGTTTTTCGCAAAACAAATTAAATCCTACTAGGAAAAAAATGTACGTGTCAAAATAAATACGACAAATTAGTCAGTCCATGATTTATACACTGATGCAAAACTTGCTTTACTTTTTCA